GGGAAGGACTTGCCGCCCGGTCTAGCAGTTGGAGGAGTGGATGCTCCCCAGCTGGCCGGCCGCCAGCATCAGGATGTCTTTCTTCTCCTTATGGAAACGCAGCTCCTTCCCGGCCAGGCGGGCTTCGTCCAGCTCTCTCTCGGTCGAAGCCAGCTCCCTGGAAAGGGCCCCGGGGCTGTTCTGCTCCCTGTTCACCCAGTCCATGGCCATCTGGTTCCTTATGTCGTCGTCCAGAGCGCGGTGGGAGTAGTGAGCCAGGACCTCCTGGGGGCGAAGGGACAGAGGAAGGACAAGTGGCAGGGCGGGCTGCACGGCACCCGGCTTCCCGGCCGGGCCAGGAGGTTGTTGAGACCCTAAAACACCCCAGGGGGGACCCCCCTGGACTCACCTGCCGCGAGCACTGCCTCTCCCGCATGGCTTTGAGGCTGCCGTTCCAGTGCAGCAGCTGGAAGACGGTCATCAGCTCCTGCAAGGGCAAGAGGAGGGTCAGGCTGCGAGCCAAGGGGGGGCCGAGGACTCAGCCCTCCGAGGAGCCCAGCTCGGTTCAAGTGTCGGGAACGAGAAGCTGAGACGGATTTTGGAACGTCACGGCCAGTCCTTTGCGGTGGCAAGGGATCACGGCGAACGCTCGCGGCCTCCGAGGCTGCAAAAAAACCCCCCTTCCAGCGTTAATGAGTTGGGATTTATCAAAAAGATAAGGAAAGCGCAGCAGCGGGGGGGGATGGAAGGAGCCAGGACGCGAGGGCAAAGCCCGGCTTATCCCGCTAGACAATCGTCCCCCGCCCAGATGTGACAGAGGAGATGAAGACGCCGGCGCTCCCTCTGCCCCGGGGATTTGAGGAGCCTGCAATCAGGACTCTCACCCCGCAGCCTCCGGAGCGGGCGACACCCCGATGTTTTTCCAAGCAAACATCCCTCTCTCACAAGGCCACGCAAATTTTCCTTCGCAAACTTGCAGCCACCACTTAGGCTTCCCAAACACAAACCCGGCCTAAGGAATATACATTGGAGAGTCTCCCTGTGTAAACAGGCCCATTAATATAAACACTTCTGTCTTCCGCCTGCGGAGGATTTCCATTCAAGGGAAACGAGCCAGGCAAGAAGTCAGCTCTGGGAAGAGGCTGCCTACAGCAAAGAACCCCAAATCCAGCCCCGCTGCAGACTGAAGGTGCCTCCTTTGAGAGGCATCCAAACCCCGCTGCACTGTCTGGACGGGAGTTACGGTCTAGTTTCTCCTCTTCTAAAAAAACCCAGTTCCAGTCGGTGCACCGAGAGTCAGCTGGTCTGCACAAGATTCGCTCCGAGTTCTTCTGGGAGCTGAAGCTGAAAGGAAAAGGGACTCGCTAATCCCCGAGCGCCGTGGCCACGCCGTCTCCGGGCGCGCGGGGACAGACGTCCCGCCCGGCAAGGACGGTGCTCAAAGGTTGTCGAGTCACGCGCAGGATTCGGAGTTCTCCCCCAGCAGTCTGCGCTTTTCTTTTGCAGGGAAATAAGACCGCTCCGCTCCTAGGAGCCGTTTCCCTCCGCAAGGCTGGAATAAAGCCCGGCTCAGTTCTCAGTCGTCTGTTCGGCACGGACTCCTTCTGCTCCATTAACCAGAACCCAGCAGCTTCCCTCAGCAGTTTGTCCTTTTCATTTCACAGATGTTTTGTCGTAACGAGACAACTGTGGTTGGAGGGCGTGTAACGACAGGAACCAAGACTCCTAATTCCACGGTCAAAATGTCTTTGGATGAAAGATCTTCGCCAGCTTTCCTAAGGGGAGCGAGACCTCTCCCATTTTACGGGGAAAGGATAAAAACCACAAATGAAACGCCTCGCTTCGGGCCACGAGTTCAGGTGCTGGAGGTCCAGAAGCCGACCCCGCCGGATCAGAAGAATCCACAACCCTCCCGTGACACTGGGCCACGCCAAGAGCAGAAGGCGTTTACAATCCCAACTATTTCTCTGCTAGACCAGCACCCACAAGCGCCCCACAAATCCCAAGCCGTGTTCTAAGAGGAAAGCCCCGCTCTCAGTTTGAACATAAACCACTACAGACGCAGCTGAAAGATCAAACCACCCACCCCTTGAACCGCGACATTAAATTATGAGCAGTACCTGGAACTCCAGCATTGATTTTCCCTTGTTGGATTCCAGCATGAAGCGAAAAGCCCCGATGCCGGTGTTGGGATTATCAGCTTCCTCTCGATTGCCCTGCAAGAGACATTTCACACCGGAGCTGCAATTCCCAACCGCGTGTGGTTCCCCCAGAACCCGCCACTCGTGCTACATCGTCTCCACTTCAGCAATTCCAGGTCAGATTAAGGAGGAGGCCTTAGGTTGGCAGACGTGCTTATTGGTCTAGTTCAGCCTCCAGCACTTCCCATCGTTCTCTACAGCTCTGACAGAGCAACAAAGCTCGCTCTGCTTTTGACAAAGCCACTTGAAACGGGATTTTTTAATTTTCCTGCAGCCCATTATGGTGTTTTTTCTTACAACACTCTGGGTACTGTCAAGCGCCGTGTGACTGCACGGCAAGAACTCCCTCCAGGATAAGGTATAATTAGAGCAGTAAAAGAAGAATGCAAAGCTCCCGCCGCTAGAAATAAAGTTTCTGGAAAACATTTGGTTTAAGGAAAGCTTGCCAACGTGACGATCCGGTCACAGAAGGGCCACGTGGATCAACATCTTATCATCCTACCCCGCCGGACCCGAGGGCAGCACAATCAAAATCAAGAAGCGTGAGACCGTGTGGGAGGGGAAGCAGAATTAGAGCTACAGTTTAAAAAGTTTTAATGCTCAGAAGTCACCGAAAAAGACCTTGCCATAAGGAGTTCCAGATGTAAAAAAGAAAACTTCTCTTGCCATGATTTTGAGTTTTTTCCCCCCCGCCAGCCCCGGTCCCCATCGATCGCTGCTGTCTGGGCACTGAAGAGCCTTACGTTGAAAGATGCCAGGGCCTCCGAAACGCTCTTCTCAATGAACTCATCCGTGATCCTCCGGGAGGGATGCTCATTAAACACCGAGTTCATCAGCGCAATCTTCGCTGCGCTCCTCCGGGCTTCAGCCTTGGTTGGACAGAACTGAGGAGAGACAAACGCCGTCAGGACAGAAAAAAACCAGCCAAGATGACCCCGATCCCTTCGGCCCTGACACACGAAACGGGGAATGAGGCGGCGGCGTGTTGTCGTTTTGGGAAGTCGTGCTCTCAGACAGCCTGAAATCATTAGGAGCCGGTTTGAAACCACAGCTATCCCGACCGCGCTGAAGGCAGAACTCGGGCAGGCAGCTGAACTCAGCACATAGTATCTGCAACCAGGAAACGCCGCCCATCAGCTCGTCCACAAAATTAATTAGCTCAAAACCGAAACGTAACCAAATTACTCTTAAGCGCAAGGACGGCTCTTCAGGATGGGTAGAGCCTGTGATGGCTGGAAGTGTTTCTTTTGGATACGTTCTCCTAAACCAAGACTAGGGAGTAACTGCCCAAAGGAATCCGCACCGCAGTCGGGACCCGTTGTGATTTTTGGAGCTTAATCTTTCAGTGAGGTTATTTGGGTTGGACGTTTTCCTTTTAAACAGAAAGAGGGGAGGAACTATTGATCCAATGGTATGATTTGATTTCTAGAGCCTTTTGGCACCTTGAGAAGAGGCTCTGGGTCAAATCCAGAGCCCTTGCAAGGAAATAGTACTCTACCAGTTCGTCCGAGCTGTGTTCTGTCAGTACACCCCACTGCTTAATCCTGGGAAGGAAAACCAAGTCTCAGAACCAGCCCACCCGCCCGTTTTCTCTGACAGCACCTACCTGCCCCCAGCTCTGCCAAGGTCCAGGTCAGTCACGTGTGGGGGATCCAGGACATACAGCAAAGGAAAATGTAGAGCCAGACCCCCCGGATGGAAGTGGGAGGGGGGGTTTAGAGGCAGTTAGAAACATTTAGTAGCCAGCCCGAAATGAAGGAGGGTTACAGTCAGACCCGCATCATTCTCACGCTTCAAACCAGCAGGAAAACGTTAACGCTGTGCCCGGAGCGGGCCAGGGGGGAAGCTCGGGGCACCCAAGTCAGAGCGCTGGGGAGAGGAGTGAGCCCCGCCAGCCTACCTGGAAACTGCCAAAGCAGCTCCCTCCCGGCAAGGTGACGTAGCAGACGTACGGGGGACTGTTGGAAGGGACCATCTCGTACACCACGAGGGCTCCGTTCTTCAGGTCGGCCCCGCGCGACTGTTTCATCTGCCAGAATTCCTGGAGGGCCTCCACGACGTTCACTGGTGGCGGGGCAGGGGGGGAGAGAAATAAAAATCGAGTTCAGACACAGTAAAACAAAGAGCCTGGAAAACTGCTTCTGCCGCATCCAGCAAGAGGACGGCACAAAAGTCAGTGGATTCCCACCTGCCCAGGGAGCTGAGCCCCGACTCGCGTCAGAAACCGCCCGCTTCAGGGGAAGCCGCGGACACGCGACGTCAAACAAATCACCAAGAGCCTCTCCTAGCCAGAGGGATGTAGGGAGAAACCCCGCGTTAGAAAGCGAAGCTCCCCGCAGAAAAACCCTTCTCATCCCAGCAAACCCAGGGAAAAGTTTTCCGAAGAGGATTTGGAAAAAGCTGCGAGGGCAGCGAGGCGTTTTGCCTTCACAGGAGGCAGGTCAACAGGCCGGGCAGGTTTGCTCACCTGCCCCTCAGTGTTGACATCTCAAGAGAAAAATAAAGCAGCTGGCCTGCGCGTGCACCGTCAGGCCTGCAAAAAAAACCCAAAACAAAACAACAAACCGCCTGCCTTCAGGCTGAACATCCCGTACCCAGCTCCAAACAACGCGATGGAGACACAAGAAATGACCCGAGGCGGAAAGCCGCCTCCTGGCAGAACTCCCCGTCGTTTGGGTGGGAGCGTTTAACCGTCACGAAAAGCGCGTGGAACGGCACGAGGAGAACGGAAACATCTCGCTTGGAGAATCTCGTTTGTGCCATTCGGCTCGGGAGGATGTTTAACAGAACCACAGGATAAAACCGGGATTAGCTTTGTTACAGTGAGTGGGTTTTCTATCCCAGGTAGGAAATCTGAGCCTAAAACATTAACCCTCGCTGAATTCTGGTAATTAAGAGTCTTTCCAGAAGTCGTTTGGAAGCAAGAACCTCTTCTGGAGCACCAAACCTTCTACGTGGGGTTTGAGCCCTCGCCCAACTTTAACCGCCCAGCAGCTTGTCCGCCCCACGCACAGGCAACCAACGCACGCAGCCCTGGTGGCAATCGGCTCGTAGCCCAAATCCACGAGATTAAACTCTTATTTTAATACCTATGCAAGAACTAGGGGTGTTTACCGTACCACAGAGCCAGCTGTCCTGTCTGTCTCTTTAATTTCTGAACCCCCAGCACCACCTCCGAGCGGTTCTAAGTTTACGCACCCTTTATTTTGTCAAGGTTCGGGCAAGAAAAACAAACCTCGTAGCATCTAACGCTCAAAGTCCCATCGAGTTTGCTCTGAGCTCCTCTCCGTGCTGAAGCCAGAGAGGCAGCTGGAGGGAGAGCCTGCCCTCAGCTCCCCCCCCAGCGCTTCCCGCTCTGAGCCTCGCTCATCTCAGCGATCGCTTTGAAGCGGGACGATCTGCAAAACAGATTAAAGCGACTCCTCGCTAAGGCAGGGCGGTTAAAAGAACCCGAACCCCAGAGCGAGCTCGCTCACGAAAACGAGAAGATAACCCCCAAAATGCCCACGGCAGCTCTGCCCTCAGCGCCGCGGCCGAGCACCGAGCGAGACCAGGCGGCTGCTCTCAGCCTCCCGGGCTGAGACAGACAAGGGAGGTTAAGCTGAGGCCACGCGCGACGCCGAGCCCATCCCAAGCCGCCTTGGCTTAGTTTTTCGGTTGTCCATCCAGCGCCGTCACTTTTTTGGCTTCTTAGGAAGTCGGCGAGCTCGAGCCTTTTAGTTTTTATTGCTTTCTGCGAGATGAAGCGAGGCGAGGAGTCACTACCACAGTAGTTCCTCGCTAAGCATTTCCCTCCTCGTTCAACCACAGGCTTTTCGGGGCATTTGTTCATAAAGCAGTCACTCTGGATTATTTTCAAGTTTAATTTGTTGGGGTTTTTTTTTGTGTGTGTGTGTTTTTTTGATGAAACATGCAAGACAGGAGCAATTTTCCACTGAAGACTTAACAATACCGGGTTCCCTGCCAGTTCTCCAGTGCACCGATACCCAGACAGCCTTCCCATCTCCAGCCAGGCAGATTCCCGACCCAGGGACAGCGTCAGTCATGCACATAATCCCCAACAGATTTGGGGAGACAATGCCCAATTCACTAACGGCTTCAGGGCTCATTTGGCACGGGGCAACCGAGCCTTCGCAGCAGCGACCACCCAAGAAACCGGCAGGGAAAAGCTGAGCTGCGCCAGGCAACGCAAACTCTCACGGCACACAGAATTACCCCGAAGATTCAGAGGAATTAACAGTTTAGTTTAATTTAGCGAAGTCTGAGAAGCTGGCGTTAAGAGCGGGTTCACGAGGAAACGCCATGCGACGGGCGCACGGGCACGGAGTTGTGTTTTCAGCCCAAAACAAGGGTTCCTCTGTGCCAGACGGCGGCTGGGCAACTTCGTTAGCGACCGGAGCAATAGGTCAGACAGCTGAGACGCATCCAAAAGAGCTTTTTTTTTTATCCCCAGACTGGATTCAACGCTCCCAGCTGCCGCAGACAGGATGGTTTTAGGAGACGAGAGAGTAAAACACCTCATTGAAACCCCCCAAACGCTTCAGAAAAAAAAAATAAATCTGCTTTTATAGAAAGAGGGAACCCTTCTGCACCCTGAAGGATTTTAATCCTGTACGGAGCACGAAAGACAACACAGCGCTCAGGCTGGGGAGAGGGCAGAGAGAAGAACGACCGGCTGGCTGGAACGCCGGTGAAGATGCTGAAAAAAAAAAATGACGTGATCTTTGCACCGTGCAGGAGGTCGCGTTTAACGGGAAACCCGACGCGTAAATAAAGGTATTACTAAACGCCCGCAAGTAAAACAAGCCTCTCCACCAGCTCAAAAAAACACCGGAGCTCTTACTCTCGGCAGCTTTCAGGCTGTTTGGTTGCATTTCTGAGGGAAATGCTGGTCTGCTCGAAAAACTCCGTCCCCCACCTGCGTGGGGGAGCCCCGTAGATTTACAGAGCGCAGCTTAACCCCCCGCCTCTGCCTGGAGCGGCCCCTGCCTGAGGCTCCCCGGTTCGCTTTGCCGCTCCAGGCGAAGAGAAGCTGGGAGACACGAAGAGCAGAGCCTGCTCTGACCATCAGTCGTATCTGTTTATTGCTTTGGAGCGTAACCCCGCGTCCCGGCGTCGTGTACACGATAGCACATCTGACTTGCATATTAAATACAGAGGAGTAAGTGATTCCACATGGCGCCGGGGCGGCCCCGAGCCAGGCGAGCAGCGGTTCCCCCGCACGCCGGCGGTGCCGCCGGCCAAGGACTCACCCTTTGGAAACCTCCGACCGCCTCCGCTGGACCTGCTGCCGGAGCCGGAAGAAACCGGGAACTCAAAATAGTTGCAAAGTGTCTCCTTTTGGGTGGGGTGGAAGATTCTTTCCATCACAGGGTCAGTCAAATATGTGCTTTAACCTTTTTTTCCTCGCTTCTGTACTTTTTTTTTTTTTTTTTTAAATAAAAAGGAGAGTACAAGAAACCCAGATCTGAGCCTCCTCCAGGGGCTCTCACCGGGCACCTCTGATGCAATTCTTGGAGCCCAGCGGTGCCGGAGCGTGGTGGAGCACTTAACACCCCCGCCCCAGTCGCCTCCAGAGCTGATTTTTCCTCGGATTTTCCTCGTCAAGGTACAGCCGTGCCGAGCACAGAACCGAGGGGGATCCCAGGAAAAGTGCAGGCACCCGGAACGGGCCAGGATTGCCCAGCAGAGCCCTCTTTGCTGCTGCCTTTATTGACAGAAATCAGATTTTTTTTAATTTTTTTTTTAATGGTCCTGACATCAAGGTGACGTAAAGGAATTACACAGAGGACTAAATCACACAAGAAGAATCCTCCTTCTTAAAAATATCTAAAAAAACACTAAAATAAACCAAACAGCCTCCACTTTCTCTCATTTTATCACACATTTACCTCTTACAGGTAGAGCACAAGTAGGAAACTTCCTCAGCTTTAAGCCACTCATCTGCCCAGCTCCAGTTCCTTTGTGGCCACCTACATCCTTGCCTACCCCTACCTTGTCTTCTCCCTCTAAAAGCAAAAACCCACGTCAGATTAGGTATCTGATACCATAAAAACAGCAGTTTGCATTTAAGAGGCAACAGAGCTTTCTAAGAAAAGGAGATCCGTGAACGTTTCTCAAGCTTGACCCCTGAAACCACGAGTCTCCTCAGGGAAAAAGCCGACCCAGAGAAACCACGGACTCAGCGGTTTTATTTTACTCACTTTTGCTTTACTTTCTTATTTTTGGCACGCGCAGCCCCAGATAGATCAGGCTGAAGCAGGGATTCTCCCTTCCACCCCACGCTCACCTTTTAACATCGCCCAAACCATACGAGCTCCCTCTGCACGGCCGGGAGATCCCAAGCACGAGGGTTGAGGCAGCAGCAGACGTTGGCAAAACCTCCACAAAGGGCACAAAACGCCTTATTACTGACATTTAACCCAGCGACAACAATCGAGGAAGCCTCCTCGGGCCCACCACATAGGCAAACCACCTGCCGAAGCGGTTTATACGTATATAAAAAATATATATTTATCTGTACAGCCATGGGAGAGGGTCCCTCTGGTCTTTTCTCCAAGTCTGCAGGGAAAAGGGCGCTCACAGCTCAGTGGTGGGGAGGGAAGGGAAGCAGAGCCCTCACCCAAGGAGGCAAATTCCAGGGAAGGAAGAAAGTCTTGGAGAGCTCCACACCTTAAAGCTGGAGAGAAGGGCAGCACGGAGCAAAGAAAATGGGTTATAACAGGGATCCCAGAGAGAGGGAGAATTACTGGGGAAGGAGCGTTGGGACAGGGGAGCCCCGGACACGAGACTGGAAGGAGAAGAGGGAGCTGACACCCCGAGAAGATCCCAGACCCTGCAGTGGTGGGACGCGGGGGGGCTGAGCTACAGCACCGGGAGGGGAGAGAAAAGGGGCAAAGGGGACCCTGGGGGCAGAGACTGTGAGGGAGAGGGGAGATGGAGCTCCCGTTCCCGGGGGGAATGATGGAGCTCCCGTTCCCGGCAGCGGGGTGATGCTCCCGTTCCCGGCGGGGATGATGGAGCTCCCGTTCC